TGTGAGACTAGCTAATGCGTCTGGAGTAATAATTACACATCATCCTCGCGATCACAACTAACTTTATAATTCCGGCTACACAAAAGAAACACAAGCATGAACAACTACAAATGTCCTCTCCACAGCTTTAAATCCAGTCCATGCCAAGCGAAAACAATTCCCACATTTCAGAGTTACCAAACAGACACATCCGGCCACTGGACTGTCAGACTACAAACAACTGTATATTGATCTACCCGTTTGTCAAGTCCCCTGGTAAACTCAAGAACAACTCACCAACTTACATACTAGGTCACTTCTGATTGGTGCTTGGTCAGGCTCTTGAACTTTGCTCAAGGCTACAGGGGTGTCCCGGTTTACTGTTTGCTCGAAAAGCTTTCTGTGTTGTCTTCTATTTACGTTTTCATTCATAGAAAGAGAATGTATGGGACGTAGGCTGTAGCACTTTCGTAGGGGGTTTGTGTTAGGGCCAGTTCTGTATGTTTTGGGACCGTTAAAGCGCTGGCATCCTGGAATATATATGCGATATCACCGGCCAGTGAAAAGAACACAGAAAGCTTTTCGAATAAAACAGTACAGCGAGACACCCCTGTAACATTCAGCAAAGTTGACTAGTTTAACGAACTATAAATGAGAAGTGACCTAGTTTGTAAGCGGGTGGAGCCTGGGCCCGGAAATGTGAGTTTTACCTAAACTCCTCGTACCCGTAACACTCAGTTACCCTAATACCCCTGACCGTCTTGTCTACACACAACCTGTCTGACCAGTAATTGTCCTGTCTGCTGTTATGAGTCCAAGTCTTGTCATTGTTTGTCTTTCTCTCACAGTGTGTGGTAAAGTTGACCCATGAGAACGTGCCCTAATCATAACTTCTTTGGAAAGTTGACCGAGGTTTCTGGGATCGGTCCTGTTGGCCTGCCATACAAACTAAGATTTTCTAACCTCAGTATGGTATCGTAAGCCTTTAGGTATAAGCCCGGAGGGGATAAACGGATCGATCGAACCAAACTGAGATGTCTCAGAAAGAGACTACCTAAGTAGTAAGTCAGGTCTGTAACCGTTCAAATAAAGACGAGAAGCGAGGGTGGGGGGGGGGGGGGTGGGTGTCGATATATGTGATGTGCATGTTAAAATCTCACTAGTTTGAGAAATCGAAAAAAAGACGGCGGAAGTGCCGTTGCGTAAGCAAAATTTAATATTTTAACTTAGCCCTAAAAAAAACTCACCAAATTCTTTAGTATCGCCCCGGCAGCCCCCCCCCCCCCCCACCCATTTTTCTTCATTTTCTAATTATCTTCTCCGTTTTGTGAATATATTTGTTGCTGTTGCCTAATGCATATCTTATCCGCAGGACGCCTCGTTATCGCAGTCGATAGGAGACTCGCTTTCAAATGCAGCTGCCTCCCGTTGCAGCCCACGGCCTGTATTAGAAATTGGGCGGTTCCCGGGGTTCGCCCAGCCTCTAAGTAATTGGTACCAGAGTTAACACTCTGGGGTAAATGGAGGAATGTCGCTGTAGCTACGGAGTTGTGTGTGGACAGCCTTACAGGTGGACAGTCTCTTATCAGCTGTCCGTACTGGTGGCAGAGCACTTATGGTTTTTAACCGTGTGCAGTGAAGCTGGCTCACATCTCCCGACTTTACCTTTATCTTATCCAACGCCATCTTCTTTTCTCACCTCTTGAATTCCTGGGATTTGGTTTTCCGAAGACCAAGACGGAATCTTGGTAAAAATCCCTAGTGAAGCGGAATGTTGACTATTCTCTCCTGACCAGGACAGATTTGCGTTGTACACACCTCAGAAATATAGGATCCCGACAATTTTTATGCCCGGCTCTCTAGCGTAGTTGGCTAAACCGGATTGCACGGTGAGCGGGTGAAGAACTCCTGGTGGTCCGGGTTCACTCCCAGGGGTACGCAGAAAAGCCACATTTCTCCCAGATTTACAGTAGTTACAATGGAATCAAGGCCGAAAGGTTGCGATATCCATAATACCGAGCCTAAGGGTTAACAACTCACGGCTTCTGGATACTAAAACAAACAAACAAACAAACAACTTTTTAAAATATTTTTTTATTGCGTAGGTAAAACTTACAGCTGTTAAGCAGAGCAATATATAATATAAAGTGTACTAAAGAAACCGACCTCATATCAAGGTTATTGTATCAGCTTAACCTGGATATGTAAATCTCAGCAGTGTTATCTCTGGAGTGCTTAAGTTTAACTTTGTGTACCCCAAAAACTGGGAAATGGCACTGCCTGCTCAGTTGACAGGCACAGAGATAGTTAATGCGATTCGTTTGTTAATTCCATGTATCTTTTTTGATAGACCAGTGAATTTTAGGATATCGTAAAAATGTCCTATATTTCTTAAAGATAGTGTAATGTTGTAAATCAGGTTGTGTAAATGTCTTAATATTTGTTAAATGGAACTCAGATATGATGAGCAATTGCAACCTACTTATCATCTATTTGTGGGATGCAATTTTTCGTTATTTTGAAGCCCCACCCTGGCTCTTGCCAGGGGCCGCAATATAGCCAGGCCATAAATGTGGCCTAATGAACGCGGTTTCCGGGACCTCTTTGCGGGTGATCCTCATCCGTATGGTGGCACTATACTACTACTACTACAACTACTACTACTACTACTACTACTACTACTACTACTACTACTACTACTACTACTACTACTACTACTACTACTACTACTACTACTACTACTACTACTACTACTACTACTACTACTACTACTACTGATGATGATGAGCAGAAATCACTAAGAGAGCATTTAAATAATATATCCCATTTATGTGTTACTGGACTTATCTCAGTCAACGAATCTACCTATTGCATCTGTAAGCTAAATTTGTAAAACAGATGTGCACGCAAAACTCAAGTTCTGGAACCAGATTAAAGTACAAAAGTGGATAAACAGAAAGAACTTCCCTCTGAAGTTTACAGCCGGTGAACGCGAGGAAGAGGATATAGGTAAAAACAACAAACTTTGAGTTGCTTGATACTATAAGCAAAGAAAAAATGGCAGCATTATCTTCAGAAGAGCAAACATTATTAGAAAGTTATACAACTGGAGCGAAGGGGCGACCTGGACACGGATCGTATAGCAGGGCCCTTTAACCAAGTTTTTACAAGGGCCAAAATGTTGAAAATGGGGGTCCGTCATGGGCCAGAGGCCGTAGTCCCTGCACAGAAAGATCATTAATACTATACAAATGCCAGTGATCCGCGGACCACTTGCTAGGCCTCTGCGGGCCGGATTTGGCCCGCCTGTGGCAAGATGAATAGCCTTATCGTATAGCATCAAATGAAAAAATGAAAAAAAAATTCTCCTGCTCCTTCTATCAGTGGTTTTCAGATGAGAAGGCCACTGCCGCCACATGAATAAATGACTTTGAACAGTGTTGCCCCTTTTCTTTGACAAAAAACATTCAAAACGGAGTCAAAAAATAACTAAAAAATTTGCGTGAAAAACATCTAGAAAAACATCAAAATGGAAAGAGTCACAAATTACATAGCAATTGATATGACTTACCCTATAGAATCATTTCCTCATCTTTACTGAAGTCTGCCTTACAAGATCCATAGGATAAACTTAGCTTGGATGATGAAGTTGAAGCTTCAGATCCAACTGGTATGCTTTAGCTGTTCCAATTTCTTTTCATACCTAATCAGGGAGCTAATAAGTGGAACAGCCGTTTCCTACTCTTATCAGGCCGAATTTTATAGTCAAGATAGCATTTAAGAGGTCACATTTCAACCTGCTTTTTAGGTTAGATTTGATAAATTCACTCTAAATTTAAAAAAATCTAGAAAAACATCTACCATCTAAACGTCAAAAACGCCATCTAAATGCAAGAAAAAACATCTAAATCTGGATGTAAAACTTCCAAAGTGGCAACACTGACTTTGAAGTTTATGATGCCGATTCTCAATTGATAGACAAGCTTGTTTTCCACCAGCATGCTAACGGTTATGAGCTGAGTTGAGCTGAGTCAAGAAATGACATCACAACACTCGGGACATTCCCATACACGCTTCGTCCCCATCTTCAGAAACCAGCGCAGAGTTCTAGTATTATGGTGCTGGTCGTAGACTGATTGTATGTCTGTCTTGCCTTTCCTCTGAGCGTAGTGTGCCGGCCGAACCCTCTGGTCACACCCAGATGCATCATTCTCTCCAGCCTATAATAATCTAGTTTCTCTTCAGACTTCGTTTCTTGTTCCCAAATGTTCCTGGCCACATTTACCTTGTTTTGTAACAATTATCAACCTAGCAGTGCGGAGCCAGCCAATCTGTCTGCCTGTTCATTTACCACCACGCCGGCATTGCCTGGAGAAAAGTTTAAAGTTTGCTCACTATCTGTTATGATTTTGGTTTTCTCCCCACTGCCCGTCCACACGAGCACATGTCTTGCATTTTTCTGTCTTCTGAATGTATAGCTTGAAATGAACTTTCAAAGTTTTCGTTGGCGCTTCTGTAAAGTGACTGGACAGATTACATGGAAGTGTGTGTGTTTGTGTAAAGGAAAGGGGGGGGGAGGGGGAGTTAGGTAGTACAAATAGTAATAGGTTACTGTACATCAATATACAGATGTGCATTTATAAGCCTGCGTGTTTTTGGATTATTAACTTTCAAAATATTAGGTTGTACATCAATACGCAGATTTGGGGGCTGTAACCTACATACTGGCAGACTAGGTTCTAAACCACTTTTTAAGTAGATACGCAATACTACATTTACAAATTAACACTTATTTATATTTTTAAAAAAATATAAAAAAAAAAAAAAAAACTAGTCGTGAACAAAGATAGGTTATGCATCTTTTGAAAGATATATGCTGAATAAGTCTCATTTACGTTTTTTTTTTTAAATTAAGAAACACTGCCCAAATGAATTCATTGCATACGTGTCTCCTTTAAATAGAGGCAACTGGCAGACTGGTAGAGAAAACGCCAACGTATGCAAGCACTGACAACTACACAATGAATCTGGACAGCTCCAATAGAACCTACATAATTGTGGGGGATTCTGTGATGAACCCTCCCAACTTGACTATGACCGGCGTTGATGCCGCCTATATCCTCTTCAGCAACATTACTGCAATATTCAGCATTGCTGCATGCCTGGTGATATTTTCTGTCTTCGTGGCCTACAAAGAGATCAGGACTCCCAGTCGTCTGCTGCTGGTGTTTCTCAGTTGTGCTGATGTTGTAGTGAATATCTCTTCGCTGCTGCAAACTGCTACGTACTACAAGAGTTTCCAGGTCAGTCAAACATTGATATATATATATATATATATATATATATATATATATATATATATATATATATATATATATATATGTATATATATATATCAATGTTTGTGTGTTTGTTTGCCCCCTATAGACTCGGAAACTACAGAACCGATTCAGATGAAATTTTCAGGATATGTTTGTTTTGATACCGGATGTTGAACCATCATGGTTTGAAATTCAACCTGTCACTGTTAGAGATAGGTGACCACAATTTAAGCCATAATATTCGAAACTAATATTTATAATTTTAGTGATTTCTAATTATAGCCACGTTAGTAATTGCGCATGCGCCGTGCAGCCAACACCTCCTCTAATACATAGAGTAGGTCGTGGTACAGCAAACAAGACTATATCTATATCTGTACAGGCAGTGATTGCCACAATAACTATATTAGACACGATTTATATTTTCTGTTTTTTTTTTTTTTCAAACATCCTTCGATGAATTGAAAAGTAGCCGATGGATTGGTAGGGAAAAAGAGGATTAGGCACTTTGGACATGAAACTACACGATACAGGAGCATGGGTAAGGGACACCGAAGCTTTCCTGAAAGCTTTGATGTGAGCGATATTATGCAAAGGACCTATCGGATGATGATGATGATGATGATGATGATGATGATAATACCTGCAATTACAGTTTCCATTTTAGGCAATGAGCAGGCTGATAGGTTGGCTGCTGCCGCTTCTCTGGGAGCTGAGCTACTTTGTGATAAGGCGGATGGGGTAAAGGCTTTCTGGAATTATATGGACATTGCAAAAGAACACTGAATCCATATATTGAAAGACTAGTCCAACGGGGCATGAGTATTAGAGGGCCTGAAAGGTATTCAGTACTGAAAAAAGGAGAACGTGGTGGTGGTGGTGGGGGGGGGGGGGGAGGGGGGTTCACTGGTTCTGTTGGGATGTCTTCGATGGCTACTGAGGAAGGAGAGGGAGCACGTGTAGGAATGTCTCGAGTGCAGTGATGTCAATTAATTATTCATTCAATTATTCATTCATTCATTCCTCTTTAATTTTAAAATGCTTGTTTGTGTTTTCATAGTTTCCAAAACAGACGTCATTCCTGTGTCAGACAGCCGCTGGTGTGCTGGTCTACTCACAAGTCTGCTCGGCACTTTGGACCCTAGCCATTACCTTCTACTTGCTGTTATGTATGGGAGGCCATTGTCCCAAGGTTTCAAACAGAGTAATGCTTTGTTTCCACGTCTTCTGCTGGTTGATGCCCCGTAAGTTCTCTGTTTAATGCTTTTGCAAAGGCTTTGTATTTATACATTCCTACGTACCTAAATATGTGTCTGTTGATCTACCCGCCTGGCTTTAAACCGGTAACCTACACAGTAACCTGGTTTCCACGTCGGCCCAGCCTAACATAGATACCGTTTACTACGAAATATCTTGGGAAGTAAAGGCGAACAGCACCATATCACCCATTAAGTTTCAACATTCGGAGGTCCGGGGTATTTAGCGTCCTTCGGATATTTTCTCCAGGTCATGCTAGTGCTTTGGGAAAGGAACAATCAGATAGTCTGGCGAGTTGTGGACCACTATGTGGTGAATCGATACATGATAAGCTATTTGTTGTAAATTGACTTTGGGGACAAGTGTACAGTGCTGAGGCACAGATACATTATTACGGTCTGAAGAGAATGGCGCAACACTCAGGGGAGGGGCGAGACAGACACACAACCAGACTGTTGCTGGTGTCATGGGAATTGGAAATCTGCGCTTGCTGTTGAAGCTTACTTGCTTGTTGTACCCCACCAGGACATCACACAAGAGATAAACACCCGGTGACACAAAGTGCCACCATGTAGATGAGGATCACCCGTGGAGAGGTCCCAGAAACCCCTTTCAGCCGTTATGGCCACAATTGTGGTCCAGCTATATTCAGGGCCCCCGGCAAAAGCCAATGTGGTGCTTAAAATAACGAAAAACTGCATGCTACAAGGGGAACGACTTGGATAATTGCTGTTGAAGATTGAGACTGAGCGCTTTTGGCAATGTCCCGAGTGCTGTGATGTTAATTCTTAATTTAGCATTCAAACCATTCGGTACAGACTGATATATAAAATATGACTCAAACAACACATCTCAGCTGCAGTGAGGAGAAACAGTGTTAAAGTGCTGTGTAGAACCTGTGTTGTTTTATGGATGTGAAATATGGACAATGAGCAAACAAGCTTAAAAAACAAAACAATTACTCGCTGATGAAATGTAGTTTTCGAGAGGAATGCAACAAACATCATGGAAGGATAGAAAAACAAACGAAGCGGTCCTGATCAAGACAGATGAAAAACGTTAACTTATTAGAACGATTGGAAAGTAGAAAGTCAATGTTTTTTAGACATGTCATGGAAAGGAATGGTTTGACTCGAGTTGGTAACTGATGGCACGACTGATGGTAAGAGAGCAAAGAGAGGATAAAGAGATAAACACCTGGATGACCTGGTCAGATGGATGGGACGAGATAAAAATATTGTACTGATCCGTGATTCTGGTCAACGTGCGAATGGCGAAACATGACAGCCTATGCTTACCAAAATGGCACATGACGATGATGAACTAGTGCCAGATGCTTGTATGTGTTTTTTTTTACTTAGTTTACCCACACAACAGTGGTATCAAGAAAGCCGACCGTCAAGGAAGCAATGGCAAACTACTGGATGTAAATTGCCTAGAGAAACCACACAACAGCCAGGAGCTGTTAGGGTTGGTTCTGCAACGTCCTGTAAAGAATACGCAAATAATCCTTTTTACCCACACAAGCTTTATTGTAAACTGAATTGACTGTTTCCGTGTATCCGGCAGTGGTGGTGTCCCTTTCTGCAGACTTCGCAGGCGTCTATGGATACAACATCACGGACATCCTACTGTACAACCACCCAACCTCCTGTTGGATCGGAAGCAACGTGAAGAATCCCCAATCCTGGTACTTCCTCACAGTAGAGGGATGGGTCATCGCCACTTACATCATCGTCTCGCTGATGTACTTTGCTATTACTTACGCTGTATCTTGCAAGGTACGGTGGATTTGTGTCTGTTGCATTTTGGGTAGTAACGTATCTAGCAGGTCTCTGCGGCCCAAGTGGTCAAGTTCTTTCTCTTGCATACCTGCATGGTGTGGGTTCGTTTTCAATGATGTGTCTTTTAGTATTTGCAATTTTTATAGATATCACTCGGGATCGTTGATGGGGCTTCATAATTCGTGCTGTATGTAACACTCTCGGCAGACAGCTAGCGTTCCGCTGAGAGAAACTGAGCTATTTGGTATTAGCCGGTGTAATGAAGTTGATCCTAAAGAGAGAGGAAACAAGAAACAAATAATATTAAGTGGCTAACTTTGACCGCCCAAGTCCAGTGAACCCAACCGTATTCAAATAGCAGGGTATTACTAACACGCACCAACCCACCCAAGCTTAACTACAGGTTACCGGGAAGGCTAACCCGGTCAACAAATGCCCGCAAAAGTCGAATGTGTTGGCCGAAAGGTGCAAATATTGCAGCCATGCTGTAAACGGACACAACGCAATTACATCTTTGGTTCAAGATGGAGGATGACGAACAACAGCAGCAGCAGAAGAAGAATATGGTTTAAATTCGCGAAGATTGACCTCATTGTACTGGCTTTGCTTGCACGGTGCTATGTCTCTGCAAATAGTAGTCGCCTGCTAAAAGCTCGTGGGAACGAAATACCATGGACCGTGTTGTTTGGAGCGGACACATCAAAAAGAGAATGAGAATAAAGAAAGAAATGATTGCAGAAATGGTGAGAGCTGAGCGTCAGAGAAGGAACATAAAAGTTGACAAAAGTGGTCCTGAAATCCCATGGTATAATTTTGAAAGACTCTTCTTAAGGCAGGCGGGTTTTGCTAGTCACACTTACCATCGCCATGGGCTGTGAGCCCCATGCCTCCTCATAGCGCAGTATAACACTATCGTCTGGAAAGACGGAAAGGTGCCAGTCATATAGCGTATATAGTAATAATAAAAATAAAAACGCGGGTGTAGCGAATACTGCGCATTCACAGTCCCAGTTTTGGCTATACAAAAAGCCGTGGTGCCTGAATACACTTCAAATCGGACTTGCTGTACTACTAAGGGGAACTTTAAAAAATGAACTTTATACTCAAATATATAAGCAACGTTCGTTTACAACCCGTCCACTACTTGCAGCGCCGCGGACAATTGCGCGTGTTGAAAGTAATCCTGCCATAGTCCTATGATAAGTACTGACATTTGAATAAAAAGAGGACGTGCTTATCATCCCATGATATATGATTATAAATTTAAACACATGGTACCCGAAAAAAATAGTCTGTGGAGTTTGAAGTCGAACATATGTATAATTTGTTCTATTTGTGCCTCACAGAATACTAAGGGGAAAGCCATTCCAGGTGATGATGTTGTTGAAGGAATAACAGTACAAACAGCCAATGAACAGCTGCGGTTCATACCAGTTATCTACGTCTGCACAAGAATCTGGGGAACTGGCTACTTCTTCTTCACACACTATCCTGACAACAGACATCTACGGGCTTCTGATTGGCTCCTGTTGATCAAGGTACATATATTTAAAACTTATTCTCTTCTAGTTCTCTTCCACCTTGTACCAAAGCGAAGTATCGGAGGAGAGATGTAACGTTCGTTGATAAGCTCTGTCAAGAGCACTATTAAGACTGATGTTAATTTATGTAAGGCTGTTCTTTAAGCCATCACTCCATATTTTACGAGATCTTTTCACCGCTCTAAATCCGTTGTAATATTTCAGTGTGGCTCGCTATGGTAGATAGTACCAGGGCATTCTTGTTAGATGTCCTAGCCACTTTATTTGTTGTTCTTTGATGACCTGTAAGACTGGCTTTATTCCTAGCATTCGTCTGATTCATTATTCTGTCTTTCCTTGAAACTACAGCAGCTCTTCTAATGCATTTAATATCTGTTGNGCCAGTCATATAGCGTAGAAAGTAATAATAAAAAATGAAAACGCGGGTGCAGCGAATACTGCGCATGCACAACCATAGTTTTGGCTATTTAAAAAAAGCCTCTTAAATGCACTTCAAATTGGACTTGCTGTACCACTAAGTTGAACTTTAAAAAATGAACTTTATACTCAAATATATAAGCAACGTTAGATAAAAACTCGCCCATGCCGTGCAGCGCCGCGCTTAACTGCGCGTGTTGAAAGTAATCCTGCCATAGTCCTATGATAAGTACTGATATTTGAATCAAAAGAGGACGTGCTTATCGTCCCATGATGTACGAATATAAATCTGAACACATACTACCCACACCCACACAAATAACGTGTGAAGTTTGAAGTCCAATTTAAGTGTAATTTGTTCTATTTGTGTCTCACAGAATACTAAGGGGAAAACCATTCCAGGTGATGATGTTGTTGAAGGAATAACAATACAAACAGCCAATGAACAGCTGCGGTTCATACCAGTTATCTATGTCTGCACAAGAATCTGGGGCACCGGCTACTTCTTCTTCACACACTATCCTGACAACAGACACCCGAGGGCTTCTGACTGGCTCCTGTTGATTAAGGTACATATATTTAAAACTTTTTCTCTTCTGGTTCTCTTCCACCTTGTACCAAAGCGAAGTATCGGAGGGCAGATGTAACGTTCGTTGATGAGCTCTGTCAAGGGCACTATTAAGGCGTATGTTCATTTATGTAAGGCTGTTCTTTATGACATCACTCCATATTTTACGAGATCTTTTTACCGCTCTAAGTCCGTTGTAACATTTCAGTGTGGCTCGCTATGGAAGATAGTACCAGGTCATTCTTGGTAGATGTCCTAACCACTTTATTTGTTGTTCTTCGATAATCTGTAAGACTGGCTTATTCCTAGCATTCGTTTTAATTCATATTCTTTCTTTCCTTGAAACTACTACAGCTCTTATAATGCATTATTATTTCTTTTGTCACAATTTTACGTTCATTAGAGGATGTACATGGCAATGTTTGACACTGATAGCATAGTGTTGGCCAAAAAATAGTTCTGATAAGATTCACTTTAATACTCCGGGGTATCTGCTTGTATGTCAATAAGGGAGATAGTTGCTCCAGTACTTCATTCGCTTTGGTACTTCTTGAGCAAATTTCCCTGTCCAGTTTGCCATCGGATATGAAAATTGCTCCCAAATACTTGAATTCCTCTGCTTGTCTTAACAAGACAATTTTATTTCTTCTGTTTGTCTTAAGAAGACAGTTTTATTTATAAAGTGTCTTTCTGTCTTCCTATCATCATTATAGCTGTCTTTTTAGTGTTTATTCTCATATTATATTCCTCCCCTTTGTTCTAATTTGATTTAGTTGGTTCTGTAGGCATTACGTACTTTCTGCTATGAGTACCTGGTCGTCGGCGAATAGTAATTCTGTAATTTCTTCTTCATGATTAAAGTCCGCTTTCTTTACATATAGTATTTAATTAAAATAGTTATTATATATATATATATATATATATATATATATATATATATATATATATATATATATATATATATATATAATATTTATTAATTAATGGAAACATTAACCAAAGCCTTCACAGTTTACAGTTTAGCCCAGAGTTTCCCAAACTTTTCTTGGTCGCGGCGCCTTTTTTCAATTAAAATTTTTTCCACGGCGCCCCAACCTAAGTAAAAGTTTGACTATTCGTATCTTGGTTAAATTATTTATGAAGCTCTTACAATATTTTGCGTCGCCCCTGTGAAGAGGTCGCGGCTCACCGGGGCGTCGTGGCGCACAGTTTGGGAATCACTGGTTTAGCCTACTTCTTTATGTCTCGAAGAGAGCATTACGATAGCAACTCTTCCGCCTTGTGCATTGTTCTACCCAAAATGTCACTTATATTTCGTGACCATCTTCGGGCTGGTCAGCCCCTGCTGACTCTTCCTGGTGCTCCTGATAGTAAAACACTTGTTGCGGACAAACTTAGATCTTAGGAGACAGTATCTGTGGGCAGCTTTGATAATGAAATTTAAGGCGACGATCGTTCCTCTTCTCCAAAGAAGGGCTTCAGTGGGTGAGTGGGTGCGGCCAGAGGCGCTGTGAGATTTAATAATCTTAGATTATCCCATAAAAATATCGTGTTACATGGAGATCTTGACGGTTTGTTTAAAATGATATTTTTTTTTCTATATGGCCCACAACGAGATTGGTAGCTCCAAATTTGGCCGGTAGACCAAAAAAAAAAAAAGGTTGTCCACTCCTAGTCTACAGGTTGCCTGCTTGTCCAAATACAAAACAAGGTCGATTTATTTTTAATAATTGTCTTCCTTCTTTTTCTTTTTAGCGTTCACTAGATGTAAACTCCAGTGGAAGCTCTTGTTGTTCGTCAACTTCTGGACTTGAATTTTTCAAGCACACGTTTTTACAGATCTAGCTTTTTTGTATGCAGACTGTTCGTTTCTCGCCTCTTAAACAGAAGCACCTACTTCGAGGAAACTCTCCTAGTAGTCGCCGTTTGCGATCATATTGTTAGAGGGCAGACGGCGCTGTGGCTAAGTCGATGCGAACGCTTCGTAATGCCGGGATGCTGGGTTCGATCCTAGCCGACCGTACAGAAGCAATGGCAAACTACTGGACGTCAATTTGCCTAGAAAAACAACACAACAGCCAAGGGCTGTTGGGGTTAGTTCTGCAACGTCATGTAAACGATACGCAACTAACCTTGTTAAAGGGCAGTGGGTATATTCTTTTTTACTTCCCAAAATGGGACTTCGGAACTCAAGTGGGACTTCGGAACTCAAGTGGGACTTCAGAAATCAAGTGGGATATATGCTTCCAGGATTGCACGTTTTAAACCTGGGCACTAGAATATGTTCTGAAAAATCATATTTTTTGAAGCGAAATTACCGATAACTGACGCTCTGAGAAGCTGTTTCCAGCTGTATTTTACTTTTGCAAATTCCCCATGTCTGGACTGGGAGTCCACAAGTTCCGTCGCCCTACTACTGAGTTGAGTGCTTGACGTGACACTGTGAGTTGTGTGTTTTACGTGGAAACCCCCCCCCCCTCCTCCTCCAATTTATGATGATTACAAAATCTCAGTCTGGATGTTAGACCAGCAGGGAGAATTCCTGATACCTTGTGCAACCTCCAAAGATATTATAATTAGAGAACTCATAATGGCTACATCAGCATGTTGTAACCTGCAGTCGTGTAAGGTAAGGATGATGATTATGATTTCATTTTAAATAATCTTGCCGGTGTATTGGGAAATGAAGAGACAGATAGACTGGTCGGTTCTGCACCAAATGGTGTTGAACTGATGTATGACAAGCTGGATGTTGTGAGGGATGTTGGAGCAGGTGAACAGGCTGAGGAACAGATACATCTTTACGGTCTGAGAAGAATGGTACTCCGATGAGTTACAAGGTTATCTGGCCGACGCTCAACATTTAGGGGAAAGGCGAGACGGATATAAAGTCAGACAGTTACTGGTACCATTGGAATTTTAACTCTTCGCTTGCTGTTGAATATGGGGATGAGACGCTTATGGTGGAGTCCTGAGTGATGTGATGTCGATTCCTAATTTAACATTTAAAATTTAAATAATCTCAGTTCTAATGTCCCAACAGTATTTATTTTCTTACAGAAGTATGAAAACAGAACTAGGATAACTGAAGACATGTACTGAAATCCCAAATTAACTCCAATTCCAATCTTTCCACAGGCCATAGGAGACAACAGTCAGTGGATAGTGAACGCCGTTTTCTTCTGTCTGGTCACACAGAAGATTCGAGGCGCACTGGTGAAAAATTTTCACAGATGGTGCAAGTTTTTCTGTGGCTGGTTCAGTAAGCACAGGATAATCGGCAAGAGCAAATGGATGAAGGTTCAGTCGATTGTCAGAGTCAGGGCACGGTTGCCATGGAAGTCCAGGAGCATGGATGGAAGTGTGTGATGAGGTGCTGTGCATGGTCTTCACGATTACATAGTGGCAAGCAGAAAGTCCGTGCAACAAGGGACAGCACGAGATACTTGTGCCTAGTCGAGGAAGCGAGGGAAAGCCCGAGCTAGCCTCGTGGTCAGTCGATCATCAGAAGTCAGAGAAGACGGTTGTAGTATTTGAAGATGTCGTCTTTATGTTGCGCAAATGGGTAATGTTCGAACATGTCGCGAGTGATAGAATTGAGAATAATTGTTTAAGCATGTTGAATACATGGACCAGAATAAACTGATAGATTGCACAATGAAGCTGAGCGGCGTTTGTGTTGTCAACCCTAGACGTTAAAGTCGGTGTAAACCAAGGTTCATGTCAAGTCAAGTCTACGTCAAAGTTCATTCCAAGTGAAGCATCGCTTCATTCCAAGTCTACCTTTTTGACTTATTACAAGTAAGGCTTTGACTCATTCCAAGTGGGGTGCTTGTCCGAAGGAAATTCGAAACCACGCTGACCTTAATCATAGGGAAACAATTTTTCTTGCAAGGTAAGATAAACATGCGGAAAACAGTGTACGATACATCGTCTTTACCCGAGCAGAATAATTAACACAGCAAGCTGCGACAGGTCAGCTGCCGACCAATGAAAACCGGTGTGTCATCTACGCCCCGCCACACACCGTATCACTAAGTTTGGCGAATTCAAGAAGTTTCATGGTCACCAGAGTTACACATCGTAAATATTATAAATCAAGTTTGTGAATTAATTCAGATTTGTGACAATTATTGTTTCGCGGAAACTAGCGGACTATGAACTAATTTTATTTACTGTTACGATCAGTTTTCTTACTACGGTGACATTTTTTGCATCGATTGTGCGTTTATCAGAATGGCATCTAAAAGGTTGGTAAAAAATAAGAACACTTTGTCGCAAGTATCGTCAGCGACAACAATGAAAGATACATCGATAAGTAACCAGAAGATAAAGATGTGCATTTTTTGCAAGTACCAGCACAGTTCTTCAACTATCTGCGACAGAGATCCTAAATATTCAAGTTATATTGAAGACTTGGTTAATAAAAAGTGGCAAAATAAACAAAAGAATAACCTTAAAAAGTGCCACTTCTGTAAAGCATTCGGACATATTGTAAAACACTGTGTTGGGAAACAGATGTTAAAAGACAAGAAAAGATCCTTGTTTGCAAAAACTAATTCAGTTACAATGGATTCAGAAGGACTGAAGGTATTCCTACTCTAGATTGTTCACTGTGCTACTGGAGAAAGAATCAAGGAAAAGTTACAGCTCCACATATCATGTTTATAGGAAAAAGCCAATTGAAATGTCCAGGAACTAAAAAGATAAAGAACGAAATTGTGATTGCAGAGCTAGAATCCAGCAAAAGTAGTAATACAAGCAAGAAAGTTGAAACGAAAAAGACAGCAGCCACTGAAACAGAGAAAAAGTCAAAATCAGAAACAACGAAAATTAATCAAGCAAAGGATATCACTGTTCCAACAATGACATCAGTCGAGACAAAAGCAACTCAATGTATGAAGAAACCAGACTGTGAAATACTAATAGATAAACAAGCCATGAATAAAGAATTTTCATTCTTAGAGGACAATAAATATATAGATTATGATCAATTTCACAGAGCAGAAAGTCAGAAATATTGGGAAAAGTCAACTAAATGTTTGATAAACAAGAAACCAGCACAAATGCAATTAAATAGAAAATCAAATATCACTTTGGTACGTGACAAATTTTTAGAAAAATCAGATTATAGCGGAGAAATGGTTTACTGTTTAGACAGAGAAGGTTTGTTGATGCGATTTTGGACAGCTTATACTTATTTGAAGTCGCCCTATATATCAAGACCATTGAAAGTAGTGGTAACGAGCAACATCGGAACAGATGTGATTCTGGGATACAAAGACTTCAACATTAGAGACTGTTCTGATGAAGACATACGAGTCTGGGAACAAAGTCATCTCTATCAACAAAAATAACAGCTGATTCAAGGAAAATTACCATCAACTGAAGTATCACTATTTACCAACATGAAACTATACAGTCCATCATCCTGAACATCATCAAGCTAACATATCACCATGCATAAAGTTCAAGATTATTATCAGTCAGGAAGCCACATAGAACTACCTACAACCAAAACCTGAACAATTATCAAGAATTGATATTTTACCATTCTTCACCGTCAAGATTGTCTTAATTCAACCAAAATCAGAAATCACCAACCTGTACTGTACAGTGAATGAACAGAAACATATCAACCACTGAATTATTCAAATTTGAAAATCACTGTAAGGAACAGAAATTATTTTCTCCAGATACCTAAAAATCGACCATTGAAACATTTCAAAATCATCAAATTCTACGCGACACTTCAAGAGCATCTATACAATATCAAGATCGTCGAATACTAAATGTATCATAAAATAAAGAATGCGAGAATAATGAAGCATTCCTACAGTTTAAGCACAATCAACAGCCACAAAAATGTCAGTATTACATCGTGTGTACACAAATATTAATTGTGAAAGTTAATCAAGTTAATTATCTAGTGTTTGTGTAAATTTCAAATTAATGAAGTATTTTAAAAAAAGTGCATAAACACTTGATTTCATTTATAAAAAGCAGCCATATACTGTGTGTATTGAACACCTTCCGTTTAATTTCATTACGAATTATTTTAAAAGTGGCATATCAGTGTATGCAGTCACTGAACACTGTTAATAGTATTGTTTCAACTTATAAAATTATAATATTTTTAGTCAGTATATTTGCAAGATTACCAGCTATCCTACCAAGAGAGGCCCCAGAGCAGAACAGATTGTCAAGAGAACCAGGGAATGAGAACCTTAAAAGCAATCGCCAGAGTATAGGCATGACACACACAGCCTGCAGGGATGGATCAAGATCAAGGATAGTTATTGGAATGAATGGGAATGAAAGAGAATAAAACAGGTATGAATGATGAATGAAAGATTTGTGGGTAGTATTTTAATAGTGTACATGTATTTTACTTAGGTTAGTAGTTCATTAGGAATAGTTTAGTATTCATGTAATAAGAGTTAGTAGTTCAAAAGTTCAAAAAAAAAAAAAAAATTCTCTCCCCAGGAACAGCACAGAAGAATTAGATCAAGATTTAGCGATAGATCATATAGAAATCTTTTTTCCACAGAATGATTTAGATAAATTCAATTTGAAATGTTTTAGCATAGGTGTACAGCACAGGGACATGGTAAATTGGTCCACGACACCCAAGATTATAAACTGCTATAGTTATACTGATGCTGAATAGACATACTGATGGTAAAGAAAGAGTGCACACATCAAAGCACAAGCACAATAGAGGAGTTGAACTCATCGGTATACATTTAAAGGGGGAAAAGGTGTGTGGGATTCCTTGGAGTTGCATACTCTGTAAAAGGTGATGTAGAGACTGAGGGGGAAACCCTAAACTCTATTAAAAATCATCCTATTAGTCATCATTTCATCTGAGATTCCTTGGAGTTGAATACTCTGTTAAAGGTGGTTATAGACTTGGAGGAAACTCTAAGATCTATGAAAAACATATCTCAACTATCATTGTTTTCATGTTGGATTCCTTGGAGTTGGGTAATTACTCTGTGAAAGGTGAGACTTTGGTCTATGAAAAAAAATATCTCAACATGCATTTTTTTTTTCTGTGGTAGATTCCTTGGGGTTGGGTAATTACCCTGTAAAAGGTGTTATAGAGGCTTTTGGGAAACCGGAAGCACTATGAAAATATATCTCACCACTACCATATCGGCTAAGAGTCCTTGGGGTTTAACACCCTGTGAAAGGTGATGTAGAAATATTGGTTAAATCCAATTTTCTATGTAGTAAACATCTCAAAGCTGACAATCATCTCACCACTATCATATCGGCTAAGAGTCCTTGGGATTTAACACCCTGTAAAAGGTGATGTAGAAATATTGGTTAATCCAATTTTCTATGTAATAAATATCTCAAAGCTGATAATCATCACTATCATCATTTCACTTTGAACCCGATAGAGTAGATATAGTGATATAGACAATACTACAGATGCATAGGTGCAAAGATGGTTTAAACTCTACACCAGCTCAGTAATAGGAAAGCATGCAGTAAATGATGAAGGCAGTTTTAAAGGACAGTAATTAAGGATAATCAGGAACTATAATTCCTAGCAGTAATACATTTAAATTGATTTATTATCCCTCTAGTAAATATCTCAAAGCTGACCATTAACATCACCATCATCACAATGATCATTATTTCACTCAACATCATAGAATAGATATAGTGACGAAGCTATACTACAGATGCAATAGGTGTAAAGATGAGATACCTATCACCAGATCAGTACTTTAAAAAAGCATACAGAAAAAAAATTTTGAAACCAAGGGCAGTAATTGAGGTTAGATTTATGTTCCATTGAGTCATCTATCAGTAAAAGGGAAAATGATACTTGATGTTCCATAAAGTATCATTTTGTTAAAAAGGGGGGGGGGAGTATGTGATGAGGTGCTGTGCATGGTCTTCACGATTACATAGTGGCAAGCAGAAAGTCCGTGCAACAAGGGACAGCACGAGATACTTGTGCCTAGTCGAGGAAGCGAGGGAAAGCCCGAGCTAGCCTCGTGGTCAGTCGATCATCAGAAGTCAGAGAAGACGGTTGTAGTATTTGAAGATGTCGTCTTTATGTTGCGCAAATGGGTAATGTTCGAACATGTCGCGAGTGATAGAATTGAGAATAATTGTTTAAGCATGTTGAATACATGGACCAGAATAAACTGATAGATTGCACAATGAAGCTGAGCGGCGTTTGTGTTGTCAACCCTAGACGTTAAAGTCGGTGTAAACCAAGGTTCATGTCAAGTCAAGTCTACGTCAAGGTTCATTCCAAGTGAAGCATCGCTTCATTCCAAGTCTACTTTTTTGACTTATTACAAGTAAGGCTTTGACTCATTCCAAAGTGACATTGACCTTTCAGGCATATCACTTGACCTGCCGGTTCCTGAAGAAGACCTTGTGGAGGACGATGTGATATTTGAACGCTGATAAATATTTGCACGAAAAAATGGGATCTTGATCATCTTCTTCTTTTGCCCTTTCTCTCTAAATGGAGCAAATGCGCTTAAAGAGTTCACGGTAGGTCGTCCTATCCTTTGCTATCTCATGCAGCTATCATCATGTCTTCCTCCACCTTTTAGCTTCACTTTCGAGTTTCCTTCTCCGTGTGTTTTTGGTCTAATTTTATTTCTATGCTCCTGTGGTTTCTAGTGTAAAGTCCATACAGTTATAGTGTTCTCAAGTTTTCTCAGTGTGTGTCTTATCCATTGCCAGAGTTTTTCTTCATTTCTTGATTCAGTAGAGTAAAGTAAAGGACCCTTTTCCACGTGTCTAGGCATGTATGGCATATATTTTATAGACCAATCGGCACAGGATGAGTAATGTGGTCAGCATCACGCTGGCCGCCTTTACTTCCCGGTACTGCACCTGGTACCCACTCAAGGCAGGATTGACCTGGGAGCCAAGGTCGTTTCTTGATTCAATGGAATTTTTTTAGTTCTCTCCCACGGTTTCATATCTGTGGTTATATCATACCATTTAATTCCCTCTCTTTTGCGCAGGCACCAATTAAAAAATGTGTGTAGTTGATTTATAATTTTTTTGTTTGTTTGTTGTTGCCCTGTTTCCAGTCCAAACAGCAGTACTCATTTCACACTATATTTTAAAATGTTAAGATTAGTATTTGTTGTAATTTTCTTAGATCATGAGCTTGATCATATTGTTGGTGCGACGTGTACTTGATAATACTGTTTGTTTCAGAGTCAATGGTATGTATCGCAATATAATATTTGAAGGCCTGTTAAAATAAAAAAAAAAATAAAAAATGAGAACTCGATTAAGCTATTTACATGTGAAGTTGAAGGTGTATATAGCAGGATGTGATTTTTGAATATTCATTAAAATAAATGATAGAATGTCACAGGGCATGCTAGTGTGAAAGGCAATGAGAGAGCAGACGCTGTGACTGGTAGTGCCACTATCAGGAATGGGCCCTCTAAGAACAGGAGAGACATCATCAATGATATACGAGGGACTAAACGCTGTGAGGTTTTCAGTTTCGTGGAAAATGACTTTTCACTGAATAGACTACATACCCTGGGTGTACCAAATGGAGCCGCGAGACAGGAAAACTATGTGGGAGCCACCCGTAATTACATCAGCCAGAGCAGAATGGGAGTTATTAGCCTATGATCACTTGGAGACATAGTCAAGAGAAGATCAGAGCACTTATGGTAATGTCCGATGTGCAATGAAGATACTCTCAACAATGAACAATGATAGAATGTAATCTTTATCACACTGTCCTCGTGTGAAGTTTATATTATGTATTCTCCAATGTGATATTTGAATGTGATTATCTTAAGAATTATTGAAAAATTGTGAACTTAATAATGCTCTTTGCTGATGAATTTGATGGTGTGTATATACTTGATATAGTATTTGAAAGTTCACTAAAATATGTGCAATAACTGTGGACTTGATCATGCTGCTTGCAAGTGAAAATGATGGTTTGTATAATATAATGTAATATTTGAATATCAAATAAAATAAGTGTCTTAAAATGTGAAGTTGATCATTTTTCTTGTATGTGAAGTTGATGGTGTACATTCCAGGGTAATGTAAACTTGATTTTTGAATTTGATTTAAAATTGCATGATAAACCATACACTTGTTTAGAGTGCTAATGAGATTGTGTATATATTAGTCTGCAACCACCCCCCCCCTCCCCCAAGACAATATAGATATCTTATGTAAACGAATAATAAACGTATGCTTTTTCCTAGAAAAGATAGGGTCACTGGCCTATGTCTGGGCGGCAGGCTACAAGGTTAAGAAAATTATAACACTGCAGATACTTGAAATTATTACTGAAAGAAGTAGTAAAAACATCCTGATGCTAAATTAGGGTTGAAAAAAAAAAGGATTGTACAAATTCATTTGCCTTCGGGTAGATGATGCTCATCAGTATCGAAGTACAGCTCATCTAAGAAAAGGAAACTGATTTCAAACTTCGGGGAGATTAGGCTTGCCAGCAAGGGAGTACAGCTCATCTAGGAAGAGAAAAACTCTTATTTCAAACCTCAGGGAGATGAGGCTTGCCAGCAAGGGAGTACAGCTCATCTAGGAAGAGGAAAGCTTTTATTTCAAATCTCAGGGAGATTAGGCTTGCCAGCAAGAGAGTACAGCTCATCTAGGAGGAGGAACACTCGATTGCAAACCTCCACTGCCTTGTGGTCATACCCTACCTTGGGAAAGCACTTTAGGAGTAAACCGTGAGGAACAAAATCTGAAGCTGGAATCCCTAAATCAGTTCACAATTGTTTACAGTGTTATTCTGCCAGCTCCTGCAACGTTTTCAGTGCCAATTTGTATTGGCTTTTGCCTTTCTCTTGGTATCACCGGCGATGCAGAGGGAGTACCTGCTGCCTGAGCAACCGTCTGTACTCCAAATCAAAATACCCAGCCTGTGCCTTGGAGAGGTCACTCCAGTGATGCTTAACAGCTTTGCAACAACACGGGAACCAGCAGTCAATGTATATAAGCCTGTACTGAATCGGCGTAGAGCCGGGCGCCAGGGATTGTTTCCAATGGTGAGAGACCACTGTCGTCCCACAGGACAGCTACCGCCCGTCTCAGCTGGGCAGCCCCCAGTCAGTAAGGTTTTGTCTCGCCACGATCCGTTTGGCTTGTTGGATGCACAGGGCTTAGGGGACAACCCGACTTACAGATCGAAATCCGTGTACCTACACAAAGAAATCGAAAAATCAGAATCCCAGCTCCAAAGCTGGGCACATAGAACGCGAGGACCATGACACCTGTTATTCTGGAAGATCTGCAGCACATGAGCGATGCTAGGTAAACTGCAGCCATGAATAATAAAGTGTCCCGTTTATACGTAAACATTGTTGCCCAACAGTAAACCAGGTTCCCCACCCCAGGTAGCAGTAGAGCGAAGGATTACATATTCTCTAAGTTAGTTTTGCTTCCGACCGCGCTTTGCTAATGCCGTTTGCACATAGGGATGGTAGTCTACGGTTTCGCTGCTTGATCAAATAAGTTTAGTGCTTGGCTGCAGCACTGTGAGCTGCATTTTTCCTGTGGAATGCCTCTCATTTGTGCAGCGGTTGTGTCTTGGTATTCAATATGGCCGGTACTCTGTTTACATGTGGGTTGGTGAAATACCTTATGCAATAATTCTACGTATGTATCGTAACCAACGTATCGTTCCTGACTACTTTCATCAATGAAAAACTGAATTTCTGGTGGCGATTGTTGGCCATGACGCTTCTAGCAACTGAAATACGCATTTACTACATGCACATATTTCTGGGTTGTTTTGGAGCGAATTGTTTGTTCACCAGTTCTTCAGTTGCAACAATGAGGGACATTTAATTTGACTTGCACTGGCACAGGAACGAAGCAAGTATGGGAAAAATCGGATTGCTGTGATGCTGAAACCTCGACTAAGACTAAGATTCTAAGAGAAAAGTGGACAATTTTTAAAAACCCTAAACCTCGTCCATTTTGAGCTATTTATAAATAGAGAAGGCCGTGACTAAACACAGCTTTTCCCTGCCCACCAAATGCAAATGTGATGCTAGCGACATGTAAACATTTAAAACATGCTTTATATGATTCTGCCATGATTGTGTTCAGTAAGAGATAAGTTAAATCACTTGACTGGTTTGAGGCTCACAGGACAGTGATGTCAATAACAGAGAAGAAGAAATAGGTTTTAATTACATCTAAAATCCAGGCGAGTAATAAAAATCTGCAATTGCTTAGGTCCATTTGGTCCAGAAAACTCCACGGCGCTGAGCTAAAGATTACCGGATCAAACTGATTGAGCAGATACAAACTTTAGCAATTGCTGACAACTTGGGAAAGTATGATGGCACCAACAAGGCTATGGGACCAGTAAAAAGAAAGGTTGCCCCTCTAAAATCAGACACAGCCGAGGTCTCACACAGTAGCTATAATTTGGGGTGGAGCACTACCCAGAGCTGTACACTACAAGCATCTGTGTATACAAACTAGGGCTGTACCGAATATTCGCTTCGGGACCTATAGTGGACCTAATAACTATTCAGTATTCGGCCGAATAATGAAAATCACTATTCGGTACAGCCCTAATACAAACAAGCCTTAGACGCAATGGGGCGTCAGCCAACCATGGGCGAACTAGACATGGAACTCTCCATCACAGAAATTGGCGAAGCAGTTATTTTGCTTCCTTCGGGGAGAGGACGGTATTCTGCCTGAGATCCTGAAATGCTCAAATAATGTTATTTCCTGAGCCGCGAAAGATCCACTGTCAATATTGGCAAGAAAAATTGGTGCATCAATATATGAGAGACGCCAATATTATAACTCTCTAGAAAAACAATTACATTTAGGAATATTTAGAACAGATAAAGAAATTACGGAACAGTGCAATGTCACTGTACAAAACCGGTATAATGCAATACAAATTATTATTTGAAATGTTTCAAATCTCACTACGAGAGTCTGTCAAACGAAAAGCTGACTGACTATACCAAAATGAAAGTTTATGAGTCTTGTGTCTTGAGCACGCTACTGTACGGTAGCGAAGCCTGGACTCTATATGTTTCTCAAGAACAGAGACTGAATACATTCCATATGGGCTGTATGAGGCACATTCTTGGTATATCATGGTGTGACCTGTGTGACGTGACGCGTGGTTTATATGTTTATGTTGTTGAGTAGGGATCTTCCTTTCACCACATTCTCTCCACTAGATAAACCGAACTAAAATCTGAGCTATGTTGCTCTCAGACAAAGTCCTGGATATCCAAGAAAACAGCCATATTGGCTCGTTAAGTATATAAACATTAGCTGAACTTGGTACCCACAAGAGAAGGCAAGGAATTTTAGATGTCTATCATACTAAATGAATTATTAGACAGGGCAAGTGATTCCTTCGTCATCTACCTTCTCCCGGTGTTATTATTAATAATTAAAGAATT